AAGAGGACAAAAAATTTTTTTCACACATCTGACTTGTTTTTTTTTTTTTTTAAGTGATATAGTAAATAAAGGATTTTTTTCTTGTTTTCTATAGCATATTTTTTAATCAGTTTATTTCTTTTTTTTTTTTTTTAGTACTTATTTTTAATCTTTTTTTTTCTTCAGTAATTAATTTATGTATTTGTATTGTTAAGATTTTTATTTATCAAAAAAAAAGAAGTACATAAAGCTGACAACAATTATGATTTAAAATATAGGAATTTTTTCTTATTATTGCTATCAATTTGACTGACGAATGATAACAACTTTTTGGTGGAAATTAATCGTAACCAAAAAAACAATTATTGTATCGTTGGCTACAAAAATCTGATCAACTAAAAGCGCTACCAATTTGGACTTGATACCGGAAAACCTGAGATGCTGTGGTGGAATCGTAGTTGGGTGATGAGTGGATACTGTTAAAAAATTTTTTTTTCTATTAAGCTTATTCATCTAAATTTATTGACTATATATTTTTGCTGATTAACCAGCGGTTACTTTGTTCGATAAACCGTACCAAACATCAATTTTTAATGATTTTAGTGATCAACAGGTTTGTAAAGTTGACAGCCATATTATCATATGTCGATTCTGGATACCTGCTTTGCAGTAATTTGTGGAAAAAGTCAAAAAAAAACAGCAATAAATTTTTTCGTTTATAAGTTTTTTTATTTCTACAGAAGCAAAGTTGATGCCAAATGATTTATTGTTTATTTGGTAAGATGATACCTACAGAATCGACAAGACAAATAAATAGAAGCTGTCTGAAGAGCATTCAACTAAATGTTTTAAACAAAAAAGAAATGAATAAACAGACACAGAGAGAGATATACGCAAAAATAAGTAAATTTATAAACAGAACAGTATGTGAGTACATCGATAATGGAATAAGGTAAGCAGCAAAAATAAACAAAAAAAAAATCTTTTTTCTAATTACTTAAGCATAAAATAGCACATTTCTTATCAGGTGAACAGAAACTATACAAGTGAAAAAGAAAGAATTGAAGACAAATGCTTTCACCAATAATTTAGAAATAAAATTTGATTAATTAACTAACAGTAACTGAGTTTAGTAAAATACTACTGTCAAACTTATTTTAGGACATGTTTACAATTGATTAGCCTTGTTTGAAATTCTAGTAAATTTTTTTTTTCAAATTTTAATTGAAAAAGCAACTAGAATGAAGGCCTAATCAGTTTTTTAGCAGAACGGAACTATTAACATAATTCGTCTGCTGTTTTATAAAGTATGTAGAAATTATTGAAATAATTGTGCTG